GATTCCCTTACCCATCACTTTTTCTACCCTTTGTCGGCCCTCACGCCCTAGTTAGGCAGCCTTGCATGCTTCATTTAGGTGCGTCCAGTATATCAGGCTCCCTTATTCCCTTGCATGGTCGACCCTCCATAGTGGTCATCCTTTTAGTCGAGCATTACCCACCCTGATGGTCTATTTGTTAGGGTCATTGGTTTTGTTCGCTCCGAGTTCCCTACCCTCATTGATCCTGATGACATGTGTCTCCCTGTCATTATGTGTGGATGCCCTTCGGGTTTATCGACCCCTAGGTTGCATTCGCCACCCTCAGAGACCATCCCACCCTTTGGTTTGCAACCCACTTCTTCTGTGACATATGGTTGTCTTGTTGTTGCTTTGTTGCTCTCAGACTGAGGCTACTACCTCTAACATTTCTAGGATTTAGTTGTTTCTGCTTTTGCTGTTCTTAGCACTTATACACTAGTCAGTTGTTTCCAGACTGAGGCTTCTGCCTCCAACATTATAGGATTTAGTTGTCATTACTTTTTGCTTTCCTAGGACATGTATACTAGTTAGTTGCTTCTGCTTTCACTTAGGCTGTTAGCTGTGACATTGCTGCTTTTGTGACATTTTCTATCCTAGGTTGCATCGCATGGACTCAGCATGGAGATTGCTCCGCATCCTAGATTACTCGGGTTTTCTTTTTCTTTGGTAGAGTTCCGCTTCTTGGCGGAAGCGTGCTTGTATCTAGGCGATCCATCACAGACCGAATATCGTGTAGCAGACCTCTGGTTGGCCTGTGAGACCAGCCACTTGGCCTGTTCTCACAGGCCTGTGTTGTACTCGGGGTAGTCCATTCCAGGCCGGTACCTCTGTCTTTACCAGCCAGTCCAGTCCAGTCCAGTCCAGTCAATCTGCTGGGGTATACCCCAGCCAGAGTTTGTACTTTGGGTCATTCTGCATTCGCACAGTTTGGAGTACGTGCGTTGGAGTCTCGCGTGGGAGCTGCGCTGTGTCATCTTGCTCCACTCTCATCCTCCATCTCCATCTCTATCCCAGGCGGAGCACCACAGCTGGTGGGTCCGCCACAGAAACTTCGAAAACGCGCTATTTCTGCAATTACCCCACTTATAGTCGTACTGGGAACCCCATAGTAGCCAGAACCATGTTCGCGAGAGAACATCCGGGGACTACTCCGAACCTGCAGGTGGGCGATACCGTCCAGCGAACAGCTGGTAGCATCAGGGACCATACTTTCTGTAAGTAACCCTCTAATTATAGTTGTACTGGGAACCCCATAGTACCCAGAACTGTGTTCACGAGAGAACATCTGGGAGCTGGTCCTGACCTGCAGGTAGGCGATACCGGCCAGGGGACAGCTGGCAGCATCAGGGACCATGCCAACAGGATCAATCCCTGTGCCTCTGCTCAGGTCCCCTCCCCTACGAAGATCAGCAGACTCTGCTCAATTCCGATCGGGGGATCCAGCGGTCTATCTCTTGCGGGCGGGTGCCAAGCTTTGCCCAGAAAGGTACATGAGACCAATGGGGATTGTACCCACTACCTCTTGAATGCCACTTGCGAGCCTTACCAACTGAGCTAGCCTGCTGGATGGGCCTGGTTTTAGGAATGCGTCTAGTATAAGTTTTTTCTTAAAAAAAAGAAAAAAAGAAAAAAGAAAAAAGAAAAAAGAAAAATGAAAAAAGCGCGAAGACCAGCTATGATGCCCAGGTAAGATCTCTGCCGACGCAGGTATGGCGTCCGCCTCACTCCTTACCTGCACCTCTACCTCCAGCGTAGTGCCGTCGCGCTGCTCCAGCAACGTGTCGCCCAAGAAGTGAGCTATTCGAACTGTGCGTCTGCCCTGGAGTGGTCCAGCTATAAGTAGCGCTGGGCCTCACGGATGTGCCTCTGGTCCTAGGCCTAAAACGGCCTGCCTGAATCTCTACCGGATGTCCAGGCCCTCCCTGCTGATGCAGCAGGGAGTGCCCGCTATCGGACAAAAGTGGACCTGGCCCTAACAGGGCCTGCCTATGTCCGTACCAAGCCAAAAACGTGGCCTTGTCCAAACAGACCCAAGGTCTGTTCGGACGTACTGAACTGCAAGTCCGAAACGACGCCTGAACAAACCAAAATAGGAGAGCAAATAAATAAATTAATAGATAAATAAATAAATGAATGCTGCCTCAAATCCAAACCTGTGGCCCAAAGGCCAGCCGTGGGCCTCCAGCCTCCAGGGCGCTTGTCGGCAGGCGTGCGGCCTGGAGGCCCCCAGCAACTGTCGGCCCCCCGAAATGGGCCCCGTGTGCAGGCTCAGCATGTAACACATACACACACACACGCTCAAATTGAATCAGTTTTGTATATGTCTGTCTTTTGTTTGTTGCTTGTCCTTTCTCCGAATGTTTCTCTTACTTTCTGCGACACTGTTTGATTGAGCACCTTTAATAAGTGCTAAATGGTAGGTGGGCCGTTGTTTGGAGTGCCTGCAGGACTCTTAGAGGACACGCTTGTTCGTGATGTCTGTGTGGTGCATATGGTCTAATGGGCGATGAGTCGATGACAGACGTCCGTCGGAGCGACTCCCTGGCTTAGCGGGTGGTGGGAACCAACATTCTGCTGGGTTGACTTGTGATGTGCCTCTTTGCTCAGTGTTGGCTCAGTGTTGGCTGTGTAGACTGCCTTGTCTACGCTCTGCTGCCGACTTGCTGCCCGTCCCGCTTGCTTTGGATGTCGTTCTTTGTGGCTGGTGTGTTCACGATGTTGTGTGGCTGCCAAGCTGAAGTTGCTGGTGTTCCCTTGTGCTTCACTGATCTGGGGCCTTGCCGCCCGTCCACATGACTAGCCTTCTGCTTCTTTTGGCAATGCTTGTGTGCCATGTAGTTCAGCTGCTTTGTTGGTGTTGCCTTGTGCTTCACTGCACTGTTGCTAAGCTGCGCGTCCGCTTGGGCCGTCGTCCATGCAGTCATTTTTGGCGTTGTGCAGTCGTGTTGCCTGGGCAGTGTTGCCTGGTTCTTCGCTGAGTTGCTTCCAGCTGCTGCAATCCGTTTGTGAACACTCTGATTCCAACAAGGGTCAAATGGTTCATGACCCAAACCATCAATACCGGGAGTCTGCAGATTGTCAGGCATCAGCCTCCTGATGAGTCGGTGCAACTCCGATGAAACAATGTCTCATCTGCAGCTTTTATTTTTTTCGGCCTAAGACTTTCTGTTGTTTTGGGACTTGTATTTTTTCTGGTTTGTCTGGTTTGTGTGCTCGTGTGTCATCTGCCCTTGCACCTCCCCCTTGCCTTCCAGCCTTTGTTCTTTGCTGCTGCTCGCCGTCCTATGCCTTCTTGTGTCATGCCTTCGTGTGCCCACCCGCCTCTCCCCTGTCCTCCAGCCTTTGTCCTTTGCTGCTGCACGTCGTCAAATGCCTTGTTGCGACACACCCATCCTTATTGTCTTCTTTCTACCTTTTTCTTTGGGATAATTGGTGGAAAGCACCTAAGCTGAAACCTTTTTGGTTTTGGGCGCCTAAAGTTTGGCAGTTTGGTACTACCGGCCCAAACAAGTTCCGCCTGGGTGAAAGGCGCCTTCGCGCCATGGCCACAGATCCGTTGGCCTGTTTTATGGGACAATGAATCTGGCGCTGTTTGTGCGCCAGTTCATAAACCGGTAGGGCCACTCTTTTCCAAGCTACCGTACTTGGGCCTCTTTCCACCGTTAGGGGTACCACCCTCGGCCTCTTCTACATTGGAATGAATCTGGTGCCGTTTATGTGCCAATTCATGATCCGGTAGGGCCCTTGGAGCGACACGTGGGCCTGTAGTCCCCCACATGGAAAAAGGTCCTGCCTATGTGCCTTGCTGCTGCCTGTCGCCCAATGCCTAGGCGCTTCCCTGCCTTGCCGATCACAGTCTTTTGCTTTCTGCCTTATTGCCATCATGATGGACAATTGACTCCTGAGTGAATTTTCTTCCATGCTCTCTGAAGGTGGTTAGGCTGTTTGCAGGTTGGATTCCGTGATGATTTTTTTTCAGTGAGTGTCTCTAGAACACTCAGCTTTGGATGACCTGTACTTGGCGGGCAACGCAGTAATGTTTAATTTGCTGTGTGCGACGGGTAGCAGCACACACACAAACGGGGGCTTCTACTAGCCTTCTAAGTGTTTTAAGCAGCAGTGCTCCTGGTGTCACATGGAGAGCTTGTGGATTCGGCATAGCTTGCACAGTCACTGTGGCTCCGTTGTAGCAGTATGAGATCATTTGATTCTGCAGTTTGTGCGCGGCCAGGGGAGGTTCATGAAACTGTTTGTTTGATTTCTGGTGGTTTCGTTGCCTCCACTGACAGGACTCTCTCTGTTTCTCTCAGACCAAGCTCCAGGGGTTGTGGGTGCGGTCAGTGCTTCCTTGCTTGGGGGGGCTTTCTGGGTTGCTCTGCAACTAATTGTCTATGTTGTGTGTATTTGTGGTTCATTTGCCCACGCAACGAATTGAACAAGGATTTTTTGCCTCTTTTTGTATGATTTTTTTCAAATTTGATGCGGATAACTTAGTGTTAATGCATACCACCTTCAATCAAGGAACCTGATCGTCTAGAAGGGTCGAAAGTGAGAAAAAAAAAATCCCTGTTCAATTTCATGGTGTGAGCGTCAAACAGAGCTGCCCGGTAAACCGTAGGCAGAGAGGGACAAAAGGGAGAAGAGGACAACAAACGAGGGGCTGTGACAAACTGTTTCGTCGGACTTTCACCGACTCATCAGGAGGGGGTGTAAAACTGCGCCACTCATTACCCACAGTGGTGCTTGGCCGTTTTATGGGGGTCGCTTTTTTTGCTCCATTAAATTTCGGGAACTGCTAAAGTTGCCAATCATTCTGAACGTCGGGTGCGACTCCAACAGTCCAATGTACTTGCCCCCCTTTTTTTTTTTTCATAAGTCAGTTATGTGACAATGTGACATCATAAAATACAATAAATTTTCTTTTATTTAAAAATATTTTACTTCGTTGTATGATTTATAATTTATTATGTGTGCTGCAGTTGTTTACACAATGATCGAAGACTACAATGGCGTCAAAGTCAGAAAAGGAATGGAGGTTGTGAGGCTCAATGTCAGAGGGGAGGTATGTTTGTTCTCTAAAATCTCTACCACCCTTTTTGCTAAGCTTCCATTTCTGTGATACAGCTGCTACCCTCCCACTCTTTCAGGCTCTGTTAGTCTCTCTCTCTTGCTCTCTCTCTCTTTTTTTTTTTTTTTTTTTTTTTTTTTTTTTTGGGCTCAAAATTCAATGTCAGTCTAGGGAGATATCCCGGGCGCCCAGGTCCCGATGTCACGCCCGGATTGGCGACCGGGTGACCGGCCGGGCATGACCCCCGGGATATCTCCCGGCGTACCGAAATTTCAATTTACGTGTGTGCGAGGCATGCCTAGACGACAACAACGTCTAAAATAACAGGCTTTTAGTTAACATTGAAATATTTTGCTAGCGTGACAAAATTGAGGGGTTTTGTTTTTTTTTTCCCAGCGATTTGGGTCAGATTTTGGAGGTATCACAGATGCCGCCGCACCTTTTGAGGTACGACGTACTTAGGACGCCGTACCTTTCGTCTTGCATGGTCTCAATCATTTAAGTCTTTTGGATGTATCTAGTCGCTTATACGACCAGATTAGCATATGTATAATCATGTGAGGATGATTAAACCACAACATGGTCAGTTCACTTATTGGAGGATGATTAAACCTCTCAGTCCTTGGAGTTCGGACTCATGTCGGACTCCATGTATTCACGAGTGCTCAGTCCATCGTCACAGGTCTTCAACTTGTTATGATGTGCGGGGTCTGTGGACCCATGGATCAATGATCATGCCATTTTAACTAATGGTGCAAAGTTTTATTTGGGGAGCAGGCTGTGCAATTGGTTACTCTTACAGGCTTACAGCTGCAATGATGCCTATACATTTGCTGTTGTTATTATCTCTTAAACCGTCAAATTGATGCTTATTTCGTCTCTCCCTCTCTGTCTGACATCAAATGCTTGTATGTGTTCCTTCTGCGCTTACTGGTTCTCTATCCCTCTTGACCTCTGTGTTGTTGTTGTTGTTCTTTTTGCTCTCTCTCTCTCTCTCTCTCTCTCTCTCTCTCTCTCTCTC